ATTACCCCCCCCCCGGAAAATTACCCCCCGGAGAATTACCCCCCGAGGACAACTACACCCGGGGACAAATACCCCCCGAGGACAACTACCCCCGAGGACAATTACCCCCCCCCCCCTAGGACAATTACCCCCAAGGACAACTACCCCCCCGAGGACAAGTACCCCCGAGGACAATTCCCCCCGAGGACAACTACTGGGCATGGTGGCTCAGTGGTTAGAGCGCCCGCCTCATGAACGGGAGGTCGTGGGTTCGAATGGGACCTTCTGCCTTCTAGCTAGACGCTCAGCATATAAGATTGGAGAAGGGCAGTAAAAACATATTATGTTATGTAGGGCCCACTGGAAGAGCAGTTTCATAACTGAAGCGGCTACCCTGGGGAAATAAAACGTTATTATTATTATTATTACCCTCGAGGACAACTACCCCCGAGGACAACTACCCCCGAGGACAACTACCCCCAATGACAATCATCCCCGAGTAATTTATAACACTGTGACGTATAACGCATGCTTCTCTCCAAATTGCTATTTACAGATTGTATATTGCAAATTGTAAATTGCATAAACCTTCATTTTCCTTGTTATTACGCGTTACGGCCTCTCTCACCATCAATGGCACAACAAAGAAATTAGGATGTAAGATTTCCTTTATGCATCCTCTGTAATTTTTTTAATTAGCTGATCGTGTATTTGTCTTTGTATGTATAATTGACCCTCATCCATGCCATGATCCGTTATTAAGGTTTTCTTCACGTTATCTATTTATTTCTGTTGTCATGCTGAAGTATGATATGTTTTCGTGTACGTTAAATTATTTTGAAATAGAAATTGCCTTCAAGTTATATGTATGGTGCCATGTCAAAAGAGAATATAAATATCCGCTCTCTGGTAATTCATCTCATTTGATTTTGTAACTCCAGCACAGTGTTTTTCAACCGGGGTGCCGCAAGAGAATGATTTGGAAAACGTTGATTTTGTAAAAAAAAAAAAATCAAATACCAGAAACGGTTAAAATATGTAATTACATGAGAAAATAAAATTTTAAAGATACTAAAGTTTCTTCCTTCCTCGCTCGCTGAAAATATTTTGACAGCAAGGCAAATAAGGGCAACGAGAGGCCCGAATATCCTCATATTCGTGTATCAAGGTCATGACCGAATATATCCCGCATATCCAGCATATAGTACTTTAAATAGTTTCTAGTGTGTGGATTACAAACTAATTTTTTACCAGTTTGAAAATGTCTTCTCTTTTTTATTTTTAGATGTGCCCATACGTGTGTGCATAGCACTTGACGAGAGCCAGAGTCATGCAAAATTATTAGTCTGTAAAGACTTTGGGATTTGGGAGAAACTTTTCATTTCTTTAGAGGGTACCGTGACTAACAAAAGTTAAAATAACGCTGCTCCAGAGAAATGTAATTCTATGCATTTTGAAAAACGCTGGACAATTACCTAAAAATAACATCCTTCGTAGAAATTAGCAACCGCACTGGCGTTGCATAAATTATAATAAAAGGAAAATTTGTAGTAATGAGGCAGACAACGTGCTATAGTATTTTGAAAGAATATGGGTTCATGCAGGGGGTATAGGAGGATAACCTCTCTCAATAAATAATAATATAACAAACACAAAACTGTGTGTGCTAAAAGGTAGATAAAATAGACCTAACGTCCCCCCCCCACCCCCACTGAACGAAATATCGGTAGGCCTAATTTTCCAAATTTCCAAAAAACTAAAATATGTGCTCTTGAGGCGGTGCAGCAAACCAGATGAAGAAAGGACACTTCTCTCACAGAAGGGTACTGATTCCTTGTCACTTCATCACTTTAGCCTAGTGAAATGAATAAAGGACGAGAAAATAAGATGGTAAGACCCAAACCCACACCCCTCCTAAAATCAGAGGCTCTGTAATTATGTAAATTAGCGTAAAAGTATTTTCCGAGAGAGACAGGTGCCCCTAAGGATGCAAGTGCCCCTGCAATGACCTAACTGCTAATACCCTTCCTCCATTTTGAATTAAATAGATGAATTAAACGGTATTTCAAGTGATAAGATATACACATCAACTTTTTTTCATTAGGTTTTGAGAAGAATGTTGACCAGAAATTAAAAGCTTTTACAAATGAGATTGAGAGTTTGTTTCTTAAGCTCACCACTAGAATCCCTCGAAAGAGTATTTGAAAAATGCAATGGCATGAAGCAATTAAGAAGATTCATCAAGTCCTTTTTTTAACCTTACCCCCCCCCCCCTCGAGAATCACAAAGCCCCTTAGAAATAATTCTTTTATAAACATTATCGATTTTTAACGGGGACAAATTATAGAGCACTTAGGCTTGTAAAAACCCACTTAAAGATACCATGTCCCTTTTGCAGCTAGCATCAATTTCTGTAGAACTTTGCAGGAATTATGCATATGTCATAATTATATGTCCGATCTGTAAAATTTAAACATTAACAGTGTCTTAGTATTCAAACTATGCAAAGAAACCCGTTTACATTATAAACTTCACTGTCAGACACTTTGAGTGACTGACTGACAATTTTTTTTCTTTAGTAATAACATACATAAAATGAGCTACAACAGGTACATGTGCATATGTCTACATCAATAACCCACTAATTATAATAGCAAAAATTAAACTGATTGAATCTGTGTGCAGCACAAAACGTACAATCATTATCGACTATTACTTAGGTAATTGGAATCCCTTAAGTCGATTCGACAACTAATGGCCTTTATTTCCCACTAAAAGCCATTTTCAAGCCCTTTCGTTTTGAGGAAAGTTCTAAATTAGTATTGTCTTTCAAATGCCGTAGGATTTTTTTTCTTTTCATGTTTATGGCCTGGCAAATGGGACATAGTACAATCTAAGGTATGTGATCATTTCATTATCATAATGATAATGTAGATGATGATGATGACGATAATGATGCATAATTTATGATGATACCTTTTAACAGTATTTTTCAATGATTTTCTATCAATGACCTAATCCAATCCAATACAACATTCAATGAAATACATACAATTCAAAATTTGGCGCCTTACAAACCTCAATTGTTATTATTACTCTCAATATCATAATGATAATTATTATCATTATTATCATTATTATCATCATCATTATTATTGTTATTATTATAATTATTATTATCATAATTATTATAATACAATACGATTCAATATGATACAGTTATAGCAGTACATGTACTTCAAAGGCGCCTTTTAGTTTTCGTGGGATGTATAATCTATACGTTGTACCCATTAATATCCTTCATGGTCATTTGGCTCTCGCGCACTGTTCCAATACTTGACAGTTTTCTCCAATATATACATTAAAATGGATTGAAAACGGCTTCGCGTGTTGGATGCTTCGCAAAAGCTCCATTAAACGGGCCCTTCTTTTACTTTTGCAATGCATATTGACACGAACTTAGATCAAGATCTATCGGCAGATGTTGTTTTTTTGTTTTTGGAAGTTTATTTTCGTCTTCATGTCAACAATGCAAGATAAAATTGTCGGTAAGATCGATCGAGATTCAATTGTATTGAAATTACCGACCAATTCTTCGCACACGTACGGTATCCTCGATCGCTCAGACCATTTTTTAACATGTAAACCTATGGGGTAACCATGGAGACTGAACTATTTTCCCGGTAACCATGGTTACTGGGAATTTTACAGAAATAGTTAAAGTTTATGAATGCAATTTCGACCAATCAGATGGCTGGATTTCTTAAGTGAGGTATATAATCTATGATAAGATTTCTTATCGTGCACAAAATGGAATAGCTTTTTAGATTAATAGGAGGGGAATTCATGCGTTATGATTTCCCGTTAATAATTGCCGCTTTAATAACTAAAGCCTGAACTGTTGTGGGGGGGGGGGGGGGAGGGGGTGATGGATAGAGATATGATATGATATTGATATGTGGTATTGTGGTATTATAGATATATCGACTGCTATGAGAGGCCTGGCTGTTTGCGTAGGCTGAAGGGGTCATGGCAGGATGCAACTTCCCTGAGAGCCAGTATAGAAACAACCAGGCATCGAATATTAAAGCAGTCGGTATATCTTATCTTTACCGAATTTACACAAAAATATACCAATAATTCTTACCTTATCCTTTTCTTGAGTAAAGATTGGTTAAAACATCACAGAAAATCTGAGACACTGTAAATCTTCGCTGGACAGATGACTAAATGTTACAATCATCCGGGAATCGCACACAAAAAGCACTGTATGGTATCTGTGCTCGAACAAAGAAAATTTTAACACGTAAACCAATGGGGATCTCATCAAAATTTAAGTATTTTCCCGGTACCCAGAATCTTTCGGGAATCTCACTCATGAACTATTGACCGTTTCTGGCACTGTTTGTTTCTTTATGGGAATGGCTAAAATTAATTTCGACCAATCAGATGGCTATATTTCTAAAGAGAGATATATAATTAGATATACAACTTAACATTACTGGAAACAGAAAGAACATGCAATGATATTGATATTTCTCTACGATTTCTGTATAAAAAGTTTCAGGCTTTAATTGTCGAAATAACAAAAGAATGAGCGACTTGGGAGTAGATTAGTAGGCCTTTCATGCTAGCGCACGGAAGTATATTCCCCTTTGTATTCTTTAATACATAACCATTAGAATATCTCATATGGTTTTGCGTGTGATTTTATTACTTGTTAATGTTTCTCCAAAAAAAGGAAATATGACTTTCGGTTGCGTCTGAAAACATATATAATTGTCTCTTGAACTTATATTTTGGTTTTGATTACTAATTTGAAAGAAGATAACCACAATTTGTTAAGGGAACAAAAATATCCGACCGCCTTTTTACAGCTCATATTGAGGCTAACCGTCTGCAGCAAAGGATACGCATTTGTTAATGCTTCTATGAGCTTGTGTTAGCATATATTCAAGAGCGATACATTATTATCCGACAAAGGTGTATCTTTCCCTTTCCAGAGGTGATATATTGACGTCATGGCGAACGGCTCAATCTGGTTCCCATTTATCTTCGCTTATATCCTAGTCAGCCCATCCTTTCAATCTTTACATCAAGACGATGGAGATTCGGCGGTGCCATTCTTAACACTTGACATGGAAAAATATTTCCATAGATGTGATCAGAACCTTGAACGGAAAATAGCTTCTTGCCACGATAAAGGCCTGGACACGGTTCCCCAAAATCTTTCTGAGGATACCGAGGTGCTTGACTTGTCTCAGAACAATGTCACTAAACTCTTGAACTCCTCGTTTGAAGTATACCCTCTAATCAACTCCTTGGATATTTCTTCTAACGATGTAAGAGCAATAGAATCCGCCGCTTTTTACCCCCTCAAGGACCTAAGGTCCCTGTCTCTATTATCTAACCCGCATCTTGTGCTTCCAGCAACAGGCATCTTTATGATGTCTCCAAAGCTCTCCTTTCTCGACTTAACAGGATCAAACTTGAAGTCGCTCCCAATTGACATTCTAAAATGGAGTCCACATCTTGATACTGCATATCTATCCGTCAACAAGCTCTCCTTCATCAAGATAAGTTCGTGTGGCATGGTCGACACTGTAGACATGACTGGTAATCAACTACAACAACTTACGGCAGGAGATTTCACATTTGTGTGCCATACTAATACTCTAGATCTTAGAAAAAACCCTATCCAATTAGTAGACCCTGATGTGATCTCATCACTACATGTTCGCTCTTTGACGTTAGGTGGCTACCGCTATAGTGACGAGGTGTTAACGAACATCATGCTTGGAAACTCAAAATCAGACATCGAACAGCTTACAATCCTGGGAGGCATTGTTGATGCGTTTCCTAAAGGTTTCTTTGACCCAATGCGCGATTCTTCTCTCTCTGTTCTGGACATTAACAGTAACGACTTGAATAGCCTCCTTCCTTTGGTCTTCTCAAATTTAACAAAACTCAAACGATTCGGTCTCAGTTATAACATCTCCCCATATACGAAATTCAACCTGACTTTTTCTACGGCTTGAAGGCATTAAAGGTACTGGTAATGAAATACAACCAAGTAAGACAAATAAATCCTCACGATCAGACTTGGACACTGGACTTATCGGAGTTTTGCTTATCCGGTAATCTGTTTAGAGAAATATCTGGATCTGTATTTCGTGGATTAGGGAATTTAACTTTCTTAGACATGAGCTCGAACGAAGACCTTTCTGTCTTTGAGACGGCGGCCTTTTCAGGACTTGACAATATTTAAATCATTGATTTGGCCGGAAGTAGTATAAGTGTTCTGGAATTGAATACCCCAATATTAAGATCACTTTTCCTAAACTCTGTTGATTCATACGAACTTGTTTTTCAACCAGGAGAATCGTTTCAACACTTACAATCCCTTATTAATTTAGATATGAAATACTCTAAACTTTACCTATGGAACCTATGGAATGTCATTACAAACGCTTCTCTGTTTGATGGTTTATTGGATCTTACTCATTTGAACTTGAGCAGTAACCCTTTGCTGAGTTCGGAAAGTGATTTACCGCCAGGCATATTCCAGCAACTCTCTCTTTTACAAGAACTAAATCTAGACTCCTGTGATATAACAAATCTACATCCTCTTGTCTTCTCGGGGTTGGATTCGCTTCAGAAATTGGGTTTGAAAGGAAACAACATCCATCATATTCATGATGATGTATTGTCGGGGTTGCGTCAAATACAAAGTATCAACTTTGAAGGAAATCGTATCGCATACTTGGAGGAGCTAATGTTTTCAAATAACTGGAAACTTACAAATCTTTCCTTGGCCGACAACAGGTTAACGCGCCTAAATCAAAGCCCTTTCAAGCCGATCTATTCCTCCATTTCATCACTTGATCTATCAATGAACTTGATCTATCAATGAACCCAATCAACTGTAACTGTGATCTAAAGTGGCTCATTGATTGGTTGAATAAACCTATAAGCCTGCTCGAAAAGGAAAAGACTATCTGTTCGTCAGCATCTCTGGAGCCTCTTCGTGAGAAACCCCTGTTTAATTTTGATCGAAATGAGCTTTGCATAATGAACAATGGTCTATTCTCTCTGATTCCCCTCGCCTCCATTAGCTTGGTTGTAATCAGCGTGCTGTTGTATCACTACCGATGGCAGTTGAGGTACAAACTCTTTCTTTTCAAACTGGCCGTACTGGGCTATAAAGAGATGCGAGACGCTCGAGACCACAATGACTACGAATTTGACGTGAACATCATTTTCTACGACGATGACGAAGATGACGAAGAATGGATTCGCGAACACCTTCGACCGGCTCTCGAAGAGCGACTTCCTCAGTTTCATAGGAACGTCTTTGGTGACGAAGATCTTGTGCTGGGTATGCATTACTTAGATTCTGTCGATTACGTGGTGAGCCATAGTTACAAGACAATCATAGTGCTTAGCAGAGCTGCTGTGCACGACCACTGGTTCATACTCAAGTTCTGGACGGCCGTGGACCACGTGAGTGACACTCTGGCGGAATTCGTAGTCGTGCTTTTCCTCGAAGACATCCCAGATGATGAAATGCCATTCTTGGCGAGGTTGTATCTCAGTGATGGCAGACCCTATATCCACTGGACTGAGAACGTGAGAGGACAACAATATTTCTGGGATGAATTGATCAAAAATTTTACTATTAATCTAAGGACGAATGACTTGATCCCAAACGAGTAGCAGTATTGTAGGAATCTAGAAATACATGTATTGGTTATCAGTTTGAAAGTAGTAGTAGTATTAGTAGAAGTAGCAGTAGTAGCAGCCAGGGGCAGATAAGGGACGCTGGGGCCCGGGCCCCCTCCTCTGACAAAAATAATATTTACATAAAGATGAAAACGTTAATTTTATCTTTAAAAAAGGAAAGAAGACGCCACCCCCTTTGTTATTGTTGCTCGAGGGGGGGGGGGGGGGGTGAGTAAAACAAACAAAATAAAGCTTCATACCCGATAATGATAAAGGAAACTGAAAACTATAATTGCACGAACCATCACCCAATTAAATACATTTTTCCTTTCTCTCAATTGTTTCTGTGAGTGTTTGGTGATATATCGTATTGGATTGTGTATATCCATAATGACAAAGTGCGTTCTAAATCTATTTCATTAATCGCTTGTACTTGTTATAGTGACAGACGAAACCGTTTGAAGGACTTGTGCACAACCTAAAGCACTATGTAGGAAGCTGTTCATGACTTCAAGATATAAAAGTGGTATTTTTAAAACGATCCGATACTCTCCTTAAACCTGTCATTGATCGCGATAGTTTATTACACTTAACCTGCATGTGACCTTATCCACGGACGATATATTTTAAGGGTTACTACGATAGGGCGGACATATATTTATCTTCCCATTGGTTCATATTCCATTGAGCAGTGTAGACAGGAAAACAAAACATTGATTACAATACGCACCGCTATACGAAAGATAGAAACGTTGTATCGCTCCTTGAATCACCAACCCAGCAATTTTCTACCAATCGTGTTTCGCTCTCTTCAAAATGTATTGCAACGCATTAATTCTTTACATCTTCGACAGTGAGAACGGATGGTGAAAGAGACAAACATACCAGTACAGACATGCCTATATACATTTTTGTTCACTTCTTTCATTATAAACATACATCAAGTTTACTTTCGCCCATCACATGCCGATAACTTTGAGATGACTGGTGTCGAGAATGGTCCGACCCAGCAGGTGTTATTTCGTGAAAGAGATGTAGATCAACACGACGGTTAGACAGACCGATTCTCTGAAACAACGTGTCTGTGAACTAATCACAATGTATCGACAGTGCACCTTCAACTTCGGGTGGAGAACATTGTTCTTTGCTCTTGTGATTCACAACTTTTACCAACTTACCTTATCGGCTAGTAGTATCCGTAAAAACCAAAATATAGCGGTAAGTGTTGTAGAAGGTCAAAATGTTTCAATTGATTTTCATCTGGAACGTCCACTTCTCAAAAACCAATTTCTAGTGTGGAGAAAACAGACGAAAACTTGGAAACTTAATTGCACACATATTATGCTGTGTTCTGGGTTGAATCATGAACGTTATAACCGACATGAACCAAAAAACAAAGAAGTCAATCTCCAGGTCAGTCCCGCTCGAGTCTGGTCGATTAGAAATGACCACTCCGGACCTTGACTAGGATGATGTTAGGAATCCGATGGATATCGTTATCAAAAGTGCCATTGCAAATACAACTCGAAAGAGTGAGCCCATTTATGAATCCTGTGACTGAATTGGGAGGATTTGATAGCCTGTGAAATGCAATTTTGTTTTCCATGATAATCTCACCTTTTACAAACTTGTATAAAAGTAGCATGTTGAAATGGCTTTGAAATTGATAGGCTCACCCTGTCCAAAATTCAATGATTCACTCATTCTTAAGATAATAATGTTGAGGGATTTAATTTTGTGATGATGCATGTAATTTTTTAAACCACCCAAATAAATACCCATTATGTCTGGCCAAAAGATACCAAATATGACGAACTCCAAAGGTATCGAATCATTGTGTTGAATGTTTCAATGCCAATAATGAATCAACCGATTTGAACATATTGAATATTGAACATATTCTTTAATTTTGTTAATCGAATTTTGTATTCCATTGAAAGATCCATTGCTAATCAAATGAAAATCCAAGAATGGTCATTTTTCCAGAACTATTCTTATTTGGGGAGAGTTCTTGGAATCCGTCTTCATATAACAGACCTTAAGAAAGAAAACATTGATGCGCCACCGTAAAATATATTGGTGGTTGACGACTTTTGGCTCCCATTTGAGAGATCCTTAGTTCCATCCTTGCCTGATGCTTCCATCCTTGAACAGGATGTTTAATCCACACTTGTCCCTCTGAACCCAAGAGTATTTAATGAGTAAAATTGGCGATGCTGGGGTAATGATAATTTCTTATCTTTTTGGGAGAGCAGTGTTATAACAGTTCAGTCACTGGCCTCCTCGGGAAAAGAGTGTTTATTGTGATGAGGCTGTACACAGAGCGAATAAAACTTATTATAATTGTAGTTGTCTTAATCAATCACCATAAATTGAGATGTCCTGATGTTTTATTACATCTTGTTTATGGTGCAAATCTCAAATCTTATCACACCAGTGGCGGATCTAGGAGGGGGGGGGGGGGCGAGGACCGGGGGCCGACCCCCCTCCCCACCTTGAAGAAAAAAAAACTTGTAAAAACACGTTAATTAACCTTTTTTTGGAAATGCCATTTTTTGCAATTTCTGCACTTTATAACTATCTTTGTCTGCCGAAAATTGTGTGGCAGTGATAAATATTACTTTTAAGAGCTTCATGGCACAGTAAAGCCTTTCAAATTTAATTTTTGTAATAACCAAAATCAAAGAACAATCACAATGAAACAAGATATAAACAAGATAATCAAAGCAGGTGGCAGGTGACATGTAAACAGACAGTAAAGTGGTTCTGATAATCATGCATTGTGATAGAAGGAAGTATATAACATGATCCATTATTCATCGGGCTGACATTATTATTATAGTATCGAGTCATCATCAATCAGCCATAACCTTGACAAACTTGTCGATTTTGAAGTTTTGTTAGGATCGGTTTCACGTCAAGGTGGATATGAAAGGGGATTAATTGTTTGCTCGTTAAACACGTTCAGTGAGCACTGGTGTTGCTTGTCACTTGAAATTAAAACAAAAATGTTGAGGAAAAACAATACTCATTTTGTAAACTTACAGCAAGGTCTTCATTCAATATTACAGGTGATTGAATAGTTGTGACCAGTGGTGAAGGGTTGGTTCACCTATAAAGTGGTTCTTGAACAAAGGGTGTGGGTGGGAAGGGGGGGGGGATGGCGGGGGGCGAACTTACTTGGGCAATGCAAAGCAAAATTTACAAAGCTGTTGGTTGGGGATGAGGAGGTGAAACAGTTTAGATTCATGAAGATTTTTGATGTAAATGCTATAACAACCCTTCAAATTTCTATAAAATACTGTATACCATTTGATTATATCATGTGTGTGTAAAAAGACCATCCCCCAAAAAGAAACAAATATAACGGAAAAAAGTATGAAAGAAAATCAGAATAGAGGTTCTAAGATATATTTTTGTAAATATAATTGAATGAACTGGATTATACATTTATTTATCATGCACATAATGAATCGGTATCACAATACGCAATTTTTATATTTACGATTTATAAAATTTATGGAATATCAATCTGAACATGGATCAACAGAAAGTAACAATTGTAAAATATTGATTGAATGAGATTCAGAACTACTATTTTAGACATTTTTTGTGTGAGTGATTTAATGGATTTGGTATGTATTTTTTTTTTCTCTCTAAGTGGAGTTCCTTTTAAGGTAAAGCTAATAGGATATATACACTCATTTATAACAATGTGTTTGTATATGTTAATCTATTTTATGTATTGCAAAGTCATGAGCAATCCCTGATAAAGATTTGTTCTTTTGAAAAAAGAAGCATGCAAGAAAGCTTATGAGGCTAGGTTGGTAAAATCCAAAAGTTAATTATTCAGAAACGGATACATTTAAGCTTGTAAATACCGTTTTGTTATGATGACGTCAATTTGTGATTACTTATAAATATCAGTCCATTCACAATATCAGACTTTACCACTGCTAATACCCTTCCTCCAGATGAATTTAATACATGATTTAAAAGATATAATAATTATGAAATATGAATGTAAATGTATTGATTCCTGTTATTTTCTGTAAATCCAAAACCATCTGTGGATCGGTAGCTAGCGGATGGGGGGGGGGGGGGGGGAGCTGACGAGAAATACTATATTATATTATTATGAGACATTTTAATTTATGACGCATGTTAAATGTAGGCAATAAAAAATTGAGGGGCACATGCACACTATAAATAAGTATCCATATTTATGTACATAGTTTTCTATTGTTAAATGTTATATTGTATTTTCTATCATTTGTATTTTCACTGTAAAAAAGCCATTGGAAGCGAAATTTCTAGGTAATATTTGCATGCATGGACCAATAAAATAATCTTGAATCTTGAATCTTGAATCTTTTAAGTGAAATAAATATAGCCTACACATCAATAATTTTGTATTTGTTTATTAGGTTTTGAGAAGAATGTTATTCCGAAATTGAAAGCTTAACAAAATGGGAGTCAGAGTTTCTTAAGCTCGCCACAAGAATCTCTCGAGAAAGTATTTGAAAAATGCAATCGCATGAAGCAATTAAGAAGATTCAGCAAGTCCGCAGGACCTCTCAGGAGGGGGGGGGGGGGGGTAGGGTTAAAAAAGATTAAAACAAAAACGTCATTGGTAATGATTTAGAGAATCACAAAGCCACTTACAAGGCTAATTAAAAAAAAATGTTATCGATTTTTAACGGGATCAAAACTGATTAAATCTGTGTGCGGCACAAAACGTACGACCATTACCGACTATTACTTACATAATTGCAATCCCTTAAATCGATTCGACAACTAATGCTCATTATTTTTTAACTAAAAGCCATTTTCATGCCCTTTCGTTTTGAGGGAAGTTCTAAATAAGTATTGTCTTTCAAATGCCGTTGGAATTTATCCTTTTCATTTTTATGGCCTGCAAATGGGACATGAAACAATTCAAGGTTAGTGATCATTTCATTTCATTATCATAATGACGTTGAACATAATGATAATGGTGATCATGATGCATATAATTATACCTTTTAACAGTATTTTTCAATGATTTTCTATCAATGAACTAATCCAATCCAATACAATATACAATACAAGGCAAAATTGTTATTATTACTCTTAATATCATTATAATTATTATTGTCAATGTTATTATAATTCTTATTATTATCATTATCATTGTCATCCAATACAATACAATTCAATATGATACAATTATAGCAATACATGTACTTCATAGGCGCCGTTTAGTTTTCGTGGGATGTATAATCTATAGGCTGTACCTATTAATATCCTTCGTCGTCATTCGGCTCTCACACCGAATCTTAGTCGGTGAATGACTTTCACCCTAGGGCGGCGATCCCGGGGGACGGGGGGGGGGGGGGGAACCGTACCCCCATTAGAATTGCAGAAAAGTGCAGACAACAAGTGTATAGCAAATACTGACGAAAGACTGCAACAAACTTTATGCTCTGGAGGGCCCAAGTGCAGCGTTTAGACAAATAAAATGCACAAATCTTCTCGCTCGGAAGCTACGCTCTCCCGCATAATATCCTTCAAAGTGCAAAAGTGAAGTCTGTTCAAACTAATATACTATACAACAAAACTTCAAAAACATGTGAGGGGGTTATCACTTTCGTCACCCCCACCCCTCTCGTCCACTATGCTCCCTCGCACTGACGTAATAATGGGGGGGGGGGAGGGGCTTAGGGGCAGTTGTTCCTCAAATCAAATTCATACGTGGTTTATTTCTGATTCGATACCAGTGATTTTCCCCTGAGCTCTGCCCCTGGACTCCACCTAGGGCCCTAAATCGGGCCCATGGTTACTCATCTGACCGTAATTAAATGTCTAAAAACCCTTAACATCCGGGGGTTCTGCCCCCTGGACTCCATCAAGAGCCCTAAGTCCATGTATAAGTAAAAGACCGGTATTATATTCTATTCGTTATGCTTTAAACAGTCCATTATTCATTCCAAAATGTAAAACAAATTTTAAAACGAAAACCTTAGCGGTTTCAGGAGCTAAAATATACAATAAATTACCCTATCATATTAAAAATTGTAAGTCGCTGCAAAGTTTTAAAAAGAATTTCAAAACCTTTCAGTTTCCCTTGTAAACATATTTTCACGTTAATTTGACCTTTATTTATTACATTTCATTCATCCAGTTTTCTCAATTTGATAATTGTATTTTATTTTCCTTATAATTGTTAATGCGTGTTTTTCGTTACCTATGTTTAATTATTGTATATACCATGTATATTTTACCTTTGTATGTATGTTTTGAATTCATGTTATTATTGTACATGTTTTTATGTGATGCAGGGCTCTCTGGGAGAGCAGGTTCAGAAATGAACTTGAATGAGACCATCCTGTTAAAATAAAACTATTAAAAAAAAAATTAAAATGACTTTTGGTTTCGTCTGAAAACATACACAATTGTCGATTGAACCTATACTTTAGTTTAGATTACTAATTTAAAACAAGATAACCACAAGTTGTTAAGGGAACAAAAATATCCGACCGCCTTTTTACAGCTCATATTGAGGCTAACCGTCTGCAGCAAAGGATACAAATTTGTTTATGCTTCTATGAGCTTGTGTTAGCATATATTCAAGAGCGATATATTATTATCCGACAAAGGTGTATCTTTCCCTTTTCAGAGGTGATATATTGACGTCATGGCGAACGGCTCAATCTGGTACCCATTTCTCGTCGCTTATATCCTCGTCAGCTCATCCTTTCAATCTTTAAATCGAGACGATGGAGATCCGGCGATGCCATTCTTAACACTTGACATGGATAAATCTTTCCATGGATGTGATCAGAACCTTGAACTGAAAAAAGCTTCTTGCAGCAATAAAGGCCTGGACACGATTCCCAAGAATCTTTCTAAGGATACCGAGGTGCTTGACTTGTCTGATAACAATGTCACTAAACTCTTGAACTCCTCGTTTGGATTTTACCCTCTAATCAACTCCTTGGATATTTCTTCTAACGATGTAAGAGCAATCGAATCCGCCGCGTTTTACCCCCTCAAGGACCTAAGGTCCCTGTCTCTATTATCTAACCCGCATCTTGTGCTTCCAGCAACAGGCGTCTTTATGATGTCTACACAGCTTTCCTTTCTCGATTTAACAGCATCGAACTTGAAGTTACTCCCCAATGACATTCTAAAATGGAGTCCACATCTTAAAACTGTATATTTGTCCATCAACAAGCTCTCCTTCATCAATATAAGTTCTTGTGGTATGATGAACAATGTAGACTTGACTGGTAATCGACTAGAACAACTTACGGCAGGAGATTTCACCTTTGTGTGCTACACTGATACTCTAAATCTTTTTGAAAACCCTATCCAATCAGTAGACCCTGATGTGATCGCATCACTACATGTTCGGTCTTTGGTGCTAGGTGGCTACCCTTTGAGTGATGAGGTGTTGGCGAACATCGTCCTTGGAATCTCAAAATCAGACATCGAACGGCTTACAATCGAGAAAGGTTCTATTGGTGCATTTCCGATAGGTTTCTTTGATCCTCTGCGCGATTCTTCGCTCTCTGATCTGGCCTTCATCCGCAACGACCTGAATAGCCTCTATCCTTTAGTCTTCTCAAATTTGACAAAACTCAAACAATTGAGTTTCAATTTCAACCAACTCCCCATAGACGAAATTCAACCAGACTTTTTCGACGGCATGAACAAATTAAAGGTACTGGTTATCAAATACAACCAAGTAAGACAAATAAATCCTCACAATCAGACTTGGACAGTGGACTTATCGGAGTTTGACTTATCCTATAATCTGTTTACAAACATATCTGCATTTGTATTTCGCGGTTTAAGAAATTTAAATTTCTTAGACATGAGCTCGAACAAATACCTTTCTGTCTTTGAGCTGACGGCCTTTTCCGGACTTGACAATATTCAAACCATTGATTTGGCCGGAAGTCGTATACGTGTTCTTGAATTGAACACCCCAATATTAAGATCACTTTTCCTAAACTCTCTTGAATCAAACTTCCTTGCTTTTCAACCAGGAGAATCGTTTCAACACTTACAATCCCTTGTTAATTTAGACATGAAAGACTCTAAACTTTACCTATTGAACCTATGGAATATCATTACAAAGGCCTCTCTTTTCGATGGATTATTTAATCTTAAATATTTGGGCTTGAGTAGCAACCCTTATCTGAGTTGGGAAAGTTATTTACCGCCAGGGATATTCCAACAACTCTCTGTTTTACAAGAGCTAAGTCTAGACTACTGCGATATAACAAATTTACATCCTCTTGTCTTCTCGGGGTTAGAATCGCTTCAGAAATTGAGTTTAAAAGGAAACAAAATCCATCATATTCATGATGATGTATTGTCAGGGTTGGGTCAAATATTAAGTATCAACTTTGAAGGAAATCGTATCGCATACTTGGAAGAGCTAATGTTTTCAAATAACTGGAAACTTACAAATCTTTCCTTGGCCGACAACAGATTAACGCGCCTAAATCAAAGCTCTTTCAAGCCGATCTATTCCTCCATTTCATCACTTGATCTATCAATGAACCCAATAAACTGTAACTGTGATCTAAAGTGGCTCACCTCTAAGCCTGCTCGAAAAGGAAAAGACTATCTGTTCGTCAGCATCTCTGGAGCCTCTTCGTGAGAAACCCCTGCTTAATTTTGATCCAAATGAGCTTTGCATAATGAACAATGGCCTGTTCTCTCTGATTCCCCTCGCCTCCATTAGCTTGGTTGTAATCAGCGTGCTGTTGTATCACTACCGATGGCAGTTGAGGTACAAACTCTTTCTTTTCAAACTGGCCGTACTGGGCTATAAAGAGATGCGAGACGCTCGAGACCACAATGACTACGAATTTGACGTGAACATCATTTTCTACGACGATGACGAAGATGACGAAGAATGGATTCGCGAACACCTTCGACCGGCTCTCGAAGAGCGACTTCCTCAGTTTCATAGGAACGTCTTTGGTGACGAAGATCTTGTGCTGGGTATGCATTACTTAGATTCCGTCGACTACGTGGTGAGCCATAGTTACAAGACAATCATAGTGCTTAGCAGAGCTGCTGTGCACGACCACTGGTTTATACTCAAGTTCCGGACGGCCATGGACCACGTGAGTGACACTCTGACGGAATTCGTAGTCGTGCTTTTCCTCGAAGACATCCCAGATGATGAAATGCCATTCTTGGCGAGGTTGTATCTCAGTGATGGCAGACCCTATATCCACTGGACTGAGAACGTGAGAGGACAACAATATTTCTGGGATGAATTGACCAAAAATCTTACTATTAATCTAAGGACGAATGACTTGATCCCAAACGAGTAGCAGTATTGTAGGAATCTAAAAATACATGTATTGTTTATCAGTATTGAAAGTGATAGTAGTAGTTGTAGTAGAAGTAGTAGCAGCCAGGTGCAGATAAGGGACGCGGGGCCCGGGCCCCCTCCTCTGACAAAAAATGTTTACATAAAGATGAAAACGTTAATTTTATCTTTAAAAAAAGAAAGAAGACGCCAACCCCTTTGTTGTTGTTGCTCAATGGGGGGGGGGGGGGGGGGGGGTGTTGAGTTTAACAAACAAAACAAAGCTTCATACCCGATATAATGATGAAGGAAACTGAAAACAATAATTGCACGAACCATAATACCCATTTAATCATATTTTTCCTTTCTCTCAAATGCAAGTGTTTGGTGATATATCGTATTGGATTGTGCATATCCAAATGACAAAATGCGTTCTAAATCTATTTCATTCATCGCTTGTACCTGTTACAGTGAAAGACGAAACCGTTGTGAAGGACTTGTGCACAACCTAAAGCACTATGTAGGAAGCTGTTCAAGACTTCAAGATATAAAAGTGATATGTTTAAAACGATCCGATACTCTACTTAAACCTGTTATTGATCATGATTTGTTCTTACACTTAACCTGCATGTGACCCTATCCACGGACGATATATAATAAAGGTTACTACGAAAGGGCGTACATATATTTATCTTCCCATTGATTCATATTCCATTGAGCAGTATAGACAGGAAGAAAAAAACATTGATTACAACACGCACAGCTATACGGAAGATAGAAACGTTGTACCGCTCCTTGAATCACCAACCCAGTAATTTTCTACTAATCGTGTTTCGCTCTCTTCAAAATGTATTGCGACGCATTAATTATTTACATCTTCGACAGTGAAAACGGATGGTGAAAGAGACAAACATACCAGTACAGACATGCCTTTATATATTTTTGTTCACTTCTTTCATTATAAACATACATCAAGACCACTCCGGACCTGGACTCTGATGATGTTAGGAATCCGATGGATAGCGTTATTGAAAGTGTCATTGCAAATACATCTCGAAAGAGTGAGCCCATTTATGAATCCTGTGACTGAACTGGGAGGATTTGATAGCCTGTGAAATGCAATTTTGTTTTCCATGATAATCTCACCTTTTACAAACTTGTACAAAAGTAGCATGTTGAACTGGCTTTGAAATTGATAGGCTCACCCTTAAAATTCGATGATGCACTCATTCGTAAGATAATAATGTTGAGGGATTGATTTTGTGATTATGCATGTAATTTTTCAAACCACCCAAATAGATGCCCATAATGACTGGCCAAAAGATACCAAATATGACGAAATCCAAAGGTATCGAATCATTGTGTTGAATGTTTCAATGCCAATAATGAACCAACCGATTGGAACAGATTGAATATTGAACATATTTTTTAATTTTGTTAATCTAATTTTGTATTACATTGAAAGATCCATTGCTAATCAAATGAAAATCCAAGAATGGTCAGTTTTCCAGAACTATTCTTATTTGAGCAGAGTTCTTGGAATCCGTCTTCATATAACAGACCTTAAGAAAGAAAACATTGATGCGCCACTGTAAAATATATTGGTGGTTGACGACTTTTGGCTCCCATTTGAGAGATCCTTAGTTCCATCCTTGCCTGATGCTTCCATCCTTGAACAAGTTGTTTAATCCACACTTTTCCCTCTTAACCCAAGAGTATTTAATGAGTAAAATTGGCGATGCTGGGGTAATGATAATTTCTTATCTCTTTGAGGGAGCAGAGTTATTGGCAGTTACTGGCCTCCTCGGGAGAGGAGTGTTTATTGTAATGAGGCTGTACACAGAACGAATAAGACTTATTGTAATTGTAGTTGTCTTAATCAATCACCATAAATTGAGATGTCCTGATGTTTTATTACATCTTGTTTATGGTGCAAATCTCAAATCTTATCACACCAGTGGCGGATCTAGCAGGGGGGGGGGGGGCGGGGACCGGGGGCCGACCCCCCTCCCCACCTTGAAGAAAAACAAAACGTGTAAAAAACACGTTAATCAACCTTTTTTGGAGATGCCATTTTTTGCAATTTCTGCACTTTATTACTATCATTGTCTGCCGAAAATTGTGTGACAGTGATAAATATTACTTTTAAGAGCTTCATGGCACAGTAAAGCTTTTTTATGTTTAATTTTTGTAATAACCAAAATCAAAGAACAATCTCAATGAAACAAGATATAAACAAGATAATCAAGGCAGGTGACAGGTGACATGTAAACAAACAGTAAAGTGGTTCTGATAATCATGCATTGTGATAGAATGAAGTATATAACAGGATGCATTATTCCATCGGTCGAACAAGCTAGTGTATAGTATCGATTCATCATCAATCAACCATGGTCATGATAAACTTGTCGATTTTGAAGTTATGTTAGGATCGGTTTCATGTCAAGATGGACATAAAGGGAATGAATTGCTTGCTCGTTGACACGTTCAAGGAGCACTGGTGTTGCTTACATGTCACCTGAAATTAAAGCAAAAATCAACAATATTCATTTTTTAAACTTAAAGCAAGATCTTCATTCAATCTTACAGGTGATTGAATAGTTGTGACCAGTGGTGTAGTTTGAGTTCACCTATTGAATGCACTGATCTAACTGTGAAAACGAAATGAACATTTACAAAGCTGTTGATTGGGGATGACGAGGTGAGGGAACGATGTATTTTGGGTCTTAATAGTTTAGATATATGAAGAATGTTTATATAAATGCTATGAATACCCCTCGAATTTCTATAAAATTAATACTCAGTAAACTTTTTTTCTATCACGTGTGTAAAAAGACCATCACCAAAACAATGACAATTTAAAGGAAATAAGTATGACAGAAACCAGAATAGAGGTTGCAAGTATTTTATTGCACATGTAATTGAATAAACTGTATTATATTTGTCATGCACATACTGATGAATCGGTATGATAATACGCAATTTAGATATTTACGATTTGTTCGATTTTGGGTTTATCGATTTGATCATCATCATCATCATCATCAGAAAGAAAATAACAATTGTAAAACATTGATTTAATGAGCTTCATGAACAGTTTTACAAAGTAAAATTATTTTGTTTTGTCTTTCTAGAAACTTTTCCAGAAAATTGTAATAATTTTTGCGAGTGATTTAATGAATGATTTAGTATGTTTTTTTCTTCCAGTGGGATTCTTTTAAAGGTAACGCTTATAGTGTATACAAACTTGGTTATAAAAACGTGTATGTGTATGTCATTTTATTTTGTGGATTGCAAAGTCATGAGCAGTACCTGATAATTTTTTATTTTTTTTTGAAAGAAGAAGAAAAACAAAACTCATGTGTTCGGATTTTATAAAAACCCATAAGTTTATCTTGCACAAGCGGATAACCTTTAAGCTTGTAAATACCGTTTTGTTATTGTAACGTCAATTTTTAATTGCTTATAAATATCAGTCCATTCACATACAGGAGATTAAACTCTCCTATCACCAATGTACAGTGTCTTGCGATGTCTTACGGGTGACCTCACTGATGTATAAATTGCTTGTATTATGTGGACGTATTATTTGGTACTCGCTTTTCGCAATGTAATACCCATGTATCATGCATCATTATATTGTACAATGTGTTTCGATTAAAATTTAATACGAAAAATTGTTTGATGGATTCGTTAATATGTGTCTCAAGGGAAGGGGATGAGAATGATAACTGTGGGATTTAATCAGAAAAAAGTGTGACCGTTTGCTTTCCCGGAGTGATTTCGAGAGACCTACCTACACACAAGTTTACAAAGCTATCTTTTGTGTCTTAGTAAGAATCCATAATTACTCATTCCCACTGGGTCTAAGTATTAATAATTCGTAATTAGAAATATATTTTGTACTATTATGTATTTTATCCTGCATCAAATATTTATTGGCTTTTGATTGGTTGACAGCTCGTCACATGACCAGACCATTTTTAGAAAGTACTATATGAGAGTACTATTTGGGAGAAGAAGTACTATTTGGGAGTAGAAGTACTATTTGGGAGTTGACATTTAAAAAAAAAAAAATTAAATTAAATAAAATCTTATTTTAATAATTTGTTTTCATTTGTAATTCTTTTTTTTAATAAAAACTGTGATTTTTAAAATGTAAAATGTTCTAATTTTCAATAAAAAAAAAAAAATCCCCAATAAACAACAAACAAACAAACAAATATACCATGCCTTCTTTTCGAGTTACTGGTTAAAAATATGGGCCTCGGTGACTCCAAACGTACCATTACTCTAATCGAATCTAAGAGATAAATGAAAAAAGGAAAAGATATAAACATCAATCATTATTTAGAGGTTCTGGGAAAAACGTTATCCCGCAACTGAAAGCTTTAAATCAAATGAAATTGAGAGCCTCTTTTTTTTTTTTTTTTAATTTTTTTTTTAATAGTTTTATTTTAACAGGGTGGTCTCATTCAAGTTCATTTCTGAGCCTGCTCTCCCAGAGAGCCCTGTATTCACATAAAAACATGTACAATAATAACATGAATTCAAAACATATGTACAAAGATAAAATATACATGGTATATACAATAATTAAACATAGGTAACGAAAAAACACGCATTAACAATAAATTATAAGGAAAAAAATACAACTATCAAATTGAGAAAACTAGATGAATGAAATGTAATAAATAAAGGTCAAATTAACGTGAAAATATGTTTACAAGGGAAACTGAAAGGTTTTGACATTCTTTTTAAAACTTTGCAGCGACTTACAATTTTTAATATGATAGGGTAATTTATTGTATATTTTTGCTCCTGAGACCGCTAAGGTTTTCGTTTTAAAATTTGTTTTACACTTTGGAATGAATAATGGACTGTTTAAAGCATAACGAGTAGAATATAATACCGGTCTTTTACTTATACATGGATTAAGATATGGTGGTGATAGGTAGTTTATGATTTTAAAAATCAAGATGCATTTCTGATATTTAATTCTTTCCTCTAATGACCGCCATTTCAATTTACACATTAAAACATTTTGGGGTGTAAAATATTCGGCACGAAGAACTAATCGTGCATATCTATTTTGTAATTTTTGCAACTTTGTTAGATTTTGTTTCGAAGTATTTCCCCATACTGAATTA